AGTCAATGGAGGAAAGAGGTCCTTTTCAACACTTGATGCTGGAGCAGTTGGACATCCATAGGCAAAACAAAACAAAACAAAGCATATAGTTATAAAACTTAGAAAATAATAGAATCTTTGGGATCTAGGGGTATGTATTAGTCTGTTTTTATGTTGCTATATCAGAATACCTGAGACTAGGTGATATATAAAGAAAAATGACATTTATTGCTTATAGTTTCTGAGGCTGGGAAGTCCAAAGTCCATCTGGTGGTGGCAGCAGTGACCCAGGGGTCTCACATTGCAAGATGGTGGAAGGAGAGAGAGCAGAGAGAGAGAGAGAGACAGACAGACAGACAGACTCTTCTCTTCTTTTAAAGCCCTCAGAACCACCCCTTGACCACCATTTTTAATCCATTCACTGTGGCATGGTCCTACAATCCAATCATCTCTTTAAGGCCCCACCTTTCAATTACCATAATAGGATTTCCNAGAGACAGACAGACAGACAGACAGACAGACTCTCCTCTTCTTTTAAAGCCCTCAGAACCACCCCTTGACCACCATTTTTAATCCATTCACTGTGGCATGGTTTTACAATCCAATCACCTCTTTAAGGCTCCACCTTTCAATTACCATAATAGGATTTCCCACCCTCTTAACAGTCACAATGGGGGCTAAGTTTCTAATACATAGAACTTGGGGGATACAATTAAGCTTTGATGAGTTTTGGGGGGACATAATTCAATCCACTACAGGGTAGGCAAAGAATTCTTAAAATTGACACCAAAAGCATGATCCATAAAGGGAAAAAATGACTTACACTTCATCAAAATAAAAAACTTTAAAAAGTTTAAAAATGTATGGCCTATGTCTCAAAGCCTGTGCATGGTACATGGGGATTGGCCTTGATGTGCTGTTGAGGGCTTTTTTCCAATGAAGGGTACACCCCTGGGTCATCTCACTCTCCTGTAAAACAGGCTCTCTCTCAGTCCCTGCCTTTCAGGTCACCTGGGCACCATTTCAAACAGAACTCAAAATGTTGGTGAGATGAAGGGCCTAGGGCTAGATTTTGCTTTTAAAAACATAATAAAACAATTAACTTTTTACAGTTAAGATGATAAAAAATCAAGTTGAAGACTGGGAGAAAATATCTGCAAACCACATATCCAACAAAGCACTAGTACCTAGAACATTTAAGTAACTCCCGAAACTCAAAAGTTAAACAAAAAAAAATATCCAAACAATCCAATTAAAAAATGGGCAAAAGACACGAACACTGTACTGAAGAGGATATACAAATGGTAAAGAAGCACATGAAAACATGTTCAGGATCATTAGCCCTCAGAGAAATGCAAATTAAAACCACAAACACTATCAGAGTGGCTAAAATAAAAACTAGCGAGAACATCAGATGCTGGCAAGAATGTGGAGAAACTGGATCTGGATTACTCTTGCATGGTTGATGGAAATGTTAGATGGTATAGCCACACTGGAACAGAATTTGGTAGTTTCTTTAAAAAAAAAAACCCCAAACCAAAAAACTAAACACGCACCTGCTCTATGATCCAGCAGTTGCACTCCTTGGCATTTGTCCCAGAGGAATGAAAACTTATTGTATAGGAAAGACTGTTTTTCCTTCTATACTCTCACTCACAACTGAAGGAAAAAAACTCTTATTTACTCCTTTACTAATCTTCTCAACACTTCTGGTCACCAAAATGTGTGGGTTTTTTTCCCACACCAATCAATTCTCCAGTTGTCTGTGCACCCCAACTAGGTGTCTTATAATTCAATTCAGTTCTACTACTATCTACCTGGAGATAGCTCAGGTTAAGGGATTAGCCCCGCAAGACTGCCCCCTGCTTCAGATGCCAATCTCAAGTGGTGGATCCTTAGGTTAACTACAACTTCTGTCCAGCGTGGCTACAGATTGGAGCCCCTCCTCAGGCTCAGTCATTTGCTAGAACAGCTCACAGAACTCAGAGAAGCACTTATGTTATTGGTTTATTATACAGTAAAGGGTATGATAAAGGATATAGATGAGCAGCCAGATGAAGAGGTACATAGAGTGAGGTTCGAAAGAATCCTGAGCACAGGAGTTTCTGTCCCCGTGAAGTTGGGATGCACCACCCTCCTGGCACATGGATGTGTTCACCAACCCAGAAGCTCTCTGAGCCCCGCGTTTTAGGGTTTTTTATAGAGGCGTCTTCACATAGGCATGATTGATGATTTATTCAATTTCCAGCTCCTCTCCCCTCCCTGGAGAATGGGGGTGGGGCTAAAAGTTCCAGGCTTCTAATCAGAGTTAGTCTTTCTGGTGAGCAGCCCTCATCCAGGAGCCCACCAAAAGTTGCCTCATTAGAAAATTAGAACATTACCTCCTATCACCCAGGAAATTCCAAGGGGTTTAGGAGCTCTGTATCAAGAACTGAGTCAAAGACAAACAAAAGATGCTCCTAGAACCACTATCACTTGGAAATTACAAGGGTTTTAGGAACCCTGTATCAGTAACCAGGGACAGAGATATATATGAGGGTACTTCAAAAAGTTCATGGAAAAATAAAATTAAATGACAATACAATTCTTTTCATAAACTTTTTGAAGTACCAGTGTATATTACGTTCACATAAAACTTATACATGAATGTTTATAGCAGCTATATAAGTAACATGCAACTAGAAACAACTGAGGTGTCCCTCAGTGGGTGAATGCTTAAACTGTGGTACATCCATACGTGGAATATTACTTGGGAATAAAAAGGAAAAAACTATTGATACAAGCAACAACCTGGATGAATGCACAGAGAATTCTTAGTGGGGGGGAAAAAAAGGCCAGTCCTATAAGGTTACATAGTATATAATTACATTTATATACTTTTTTTTTTTTTTTTTGTGGCCAGCCAGTAAGGGGATCCAAATTTGTGAGCTTGGTGTTATAAGGCTGTGGTCTAACGAACTTAGCTAACTGGCCAGCCATTTATATAACATTCTTAAAATGATAAAATTATAGAGATGGAGAATAGATTTGTGGTCATCAGCAGTGAGGCAATCTGAGGCTCCTGTGCTGATGGAATGTTCTGCATCTTGACTATCAATGTCAGTATCCTGGTTGTGATATTGTACGATAGTTTTGAACGGTGTTACCATTGGGGGAAACTAGGTAAAAGGTATTATGTCTTATACCTGCATGTGAATATATCTCAAATTAGTTTGCTTAATTATCTTAAAGTAAAAAGTTTAATTAAAAAATAACAAATGTAATTTAAAAAAATTCAAGTGATACAAAATGGTCTTTAATGAAAAATGAGCCTTCCATCTCTTCCTGTGTTGCCTCCCTTATGGCAAGCCACTAGTTACCACTAAGTAGTTACTAACCACATTATTTTTCACAATTGTGTAGACTCTTAAGTGAATTGCTCTGAATTTTTCAGAACTGGATGTTGCTTAAGCAACATGGACAAAATGAAGGCTCTCACCCTGTCTGATTATCCTTGTCATGGCAGTTTGTCCCTGTCTCCCACACAGAATCTGTAAGGCTGGGTCTCATCTCTC